GCCTTTTCATTATGTTGGTAGAAACTTTTCAGTTTGATGTAGTGTCATTTATTTTTGCTCTTGATTTCCTTGACTTTGATATGCTTTCTTCCAGCTTTATGGTTTCTGGTTTATGTTCCAATATTTAATCTATTTTGAGTTAATTTTGTGTGTGGTGGTAGACAGTGGTTCGATTTTTCCAACATCATTTATTGAGGAGATTGTGTTTTGCTTTGTGTATAGTCTGGGCTCCTTTGTTCTAAAGAAATTGACTATTCACATCTAGGTTTATTTTTAGGCCCTCTGTAGAGTTCCATTGATCTCTATTTTTATACCAATGCAATATTTTCTGACTACAATAAAGTTGGAAGAAAGGAAAAGTGACAGCTTGGTTCTTCTTTCTCAGATTGCTTTGTCTCTTAGGGGTCTTTTGTGTTCTATATAAACTTTAGGATTGCTAGCTATATTTCTGTGATAAATGACATTAGAATTTTGATTGCATTGAATCTGAGGCTAGTGTTAAGTAATATGTCATTTTAACAATATTAATTCTTCCAGTCCATAGTATGGAATTTTTTTCTATTTCCTCATGTTTTCAATTTCTTTCAACAATATCTCAGTTTTTAGTGCATTGGTCTTTCACATCATTGGCTAAACTTATTCCTAGGTATTTTATTCTTTTTGACACAACTATAAATGGGATTAAAAAAAATCTTTGTAGTATTTTGCTGTTAATATAGATTATACGTTTTCTGTAAATTTTAAATTATGACTAAATTAACACATTACCATTACTTACTTCAAAATTTGGGACAATGGGGAGAAAAATAAGAAACCCAAATTCCAACACTAAAAACAGCCACATAAACATTTAACGATTGTATTCCAATTATTCTTTTGGTCTTATTTTACGTATCCATAAAAATATTCATAAGTAAGTTTATATAAGTAAGCTGAATTGAAATTTTTGGGGAAGGTGGTAGTAAACCATAAGAAAGAAGTTACCTAATGGCAAATGCTGTGTACTAATGTGTTTACTCCCATCATAAGGAAAAAAATACAGTAATTGCTGCTTTTCTTTATCAAGTGGCTACTGTCAATAAACTCTGTACATTCTTAGCTCTTTAGAGATTTCCTTTGCTTTTACCCTCGATTAAACTTACTTATTCTTCTAGAAATTTATTAATTTGTTTAATAAACAAAATACTATTATTATACATCTTTGCTAACACTGTGATCATATAGAGATCGTCCCTTACATGTGGTCACCGTAGCTCTCCTAGCACCAAGCACCGCAGCCACGAACCTTTCCCTCTCTCCGCCAAGCCCCATTCTGCCTGATCCTCATACCTCCCCCTTCCCCCTTCCTCTCTCGGATGCCTCAGATAAGGTCAGTTTTGAAGGACTGGTTTTATAGTTTGTCTTTGTTTGACCCTTTGTTTGGTTTCTCTATACTATACAGGCAATTGAAGCCATCTGTATTTATCTTTCTCTTTCTGGCTTATTTCAGTTAGCATAATCCCTTCCAGCTCCATCCATGTTTCAGAAAATGGCATGAGTTTATCTATTTTGATTACTGACTAGTATTCTATTGTGTATACAAACTGCATCATCTTGATCTACTCATCTGCTTTGGGGCATATATCTTAGCTATTGTAAATACTTCTGTGATAGCACACAGGAGTGCAAGCTCCTTTCAAACTGGGATTTATTTTGTTCTTGGGGGAGATATCTAGAAGTGGAATTGTCTTTAACAATTTTAAAAGAAGGGTACAAAGCAGAGATGTTTCCTAAACTCTCCAAGAGTGTCATTTTGCATATTTTAACCTCTCAAACCTTTTTTTTTTTTCATTATCCTTTAGCTTTTACTGGCGATGAACAATTGCATTCTGTGAGTATTACGATTTTTATTCTTGTATATGTAAGTCTGTATTTCAGTTTACTTTTACCAGTTATTTCCCAGAATCCCCTTACAAAAGGGGTTGCTATATTCAAATGTGTTTGGGAAATATTAGGTTGCATAAGAATGCTTAGTGTTTTGTGATTATAGGGTTGTCTATGCATAGTGAACCTTCAAAGCTTACTTAGGGTTTCCTCAGAGGTATCTAAAAACTAATATGGCGGCCATTTGGGGTTCATGAAACACTAAAAGTTCTGGGGTGTGTTTGGAAGTCCAATTTGGGCTGTACTGGCTTATAATTTTAATTGACCTTTATGCTGTCAAATATGGCAGGTCATATGTAGATGAGAGTGTTTTTTCACAGCTTTGGTGTTACCTGCAATAAGGATGTTCTGTCTTTCTTTACATACAACTTGATTTTTTAAAATCATGGTACAGGCCCTCCCTGGTGGCACAATGGGTTAGGACGCAGCACTGTAAGCTAGCTGTAGCAGCTTCAGTACGAGTTCGATCCCCGGCCCTGGAGGTGTCCCACATGGCACGGTAGACCTCTCCTGACCTGCCTGCTGCTCCCCTTAGCAGTGTACTTTATCAATCTGCCTGTTCTGCTCCCTACTCTGTCTCTGGTGAAGACTCTCACCATCCCTGCACCTCTGACTTGTACCCCAGTTCTGTATACATAAATAAATAAATCTTAAAAAAATATTTTTTAAAAATCATGGTACAATATATAAAACAAAAATTTAGTTTTAAACATTTTTAAATGTACGCTTTAGTGGTACTGAGTACATTAACTTGGTGGACAACTATCAAAGGTTCCCTTTGAACTCGCACACTCTTTCTCCTTTTCATCTCAAAACAGTTGCCTTAAATACCCTGACTAGTAGGTATTTACATAGCACCTAGTAATCACTGTTTTGAGCCCTGAGAGCTCACAGCACAGGAGGACACAATTTATTGTTGTTGTTTTCCTTTCAGTTGTTCTGGCTATATTAGCTCAGGAACCTCATGACCTCAAGGTGATTCTCCTTTCTCCTGCCTTGTTAATTAGCTCCCACCACCTTAAAAAATTTTTTTTGTCCTTGCAGTGACATCACATTATAATATTGTGTAAACTTCAGGTGTACATTTAATTATAAATCAACATTTTTACACATTATATCAATTCACTGATACATATTTCTTTCTTCACCATTTATTAACACTTTTTACCAATTTAGCCACACCCTCTTCCCTTCTGGTAAACACTATAGTCTAACATTTTTTTTTGTTTTATTTCATTCATTTTCTTTATGCGCCATATATGAATTGAAATCATATGCATTTGTCTTTCTGTATTTGTCTTATTTCACTAAGCATAAAACCTTCTAGGCCCATTTATGTTGTTGCAAGTGGCATGATTTCATCTTGTAGAATTCTATTGCATTGTGTATAAATAGCAAAATACCACATTGATTGATAGTACAACCATCTATCAATCAATGATACTTTAGGCTGTTTCCAAGTTTTGATTATTAAAAATAAGGCTGCATTGAACATGGGGATGCATTAATCTCTTAAAATTAGTATTTTCGTATTTTCCAGGTAAAACTGAGAATTAGGATAGTTGGCTGCTATGGAATTTCTATTTTTCCACTTTTAATTTTTTGGTAAGTTCCCACACTACTTTCCATAATGGCTTCACCAGCCTACCCTCCTACCAATAAGTTTCTCTTCCCTGCCATATCCTCTCCAACACTTTTTTTTCCTTGTCTTTTGGAAGACAGCCATTCTCACCGTGTGAGGTGAAATCCCTTTGTTGTTTTGATTTGTATTTTCCTAATAATAGGAAATGATAACCTGCACTATGAGATGTTTCTCAACTTTTTTTCTCAATAATTTGCTCTTTTCTTCTCTGATAAGGTTTTAAATCATTATACTTACTGTGTTTCAGTTTCTTTGCTTTTCTTTCTTCTTTTTAGCTTGTCCTATTGTGTTTTAATTTCTGCTTGTTCTCTTTATGGTTTTCATTATCATAAACACTGAATTTTTTTTCACATCTCATTAAGAATGCCTGAGAGGTTTTCTACATGTACTTCAGTTACTTTAAATAGTAATTTTCAAAGCTACAATCTTCAAGGTGATCTTCCTTTTGCCTGAAGAATGTTTGTACAGAGGCTCCCTGCAGATTTACTTTGTTGCTTACTCACCTTCAACTGAAAAGAGAGTAATAAAGAAACAGAGGTTTGTCATGGTCAATACACCTAGGAGCAAGTTCAAGTACCTTTGCAGATTTACCTATAACTGGCTATTAGATTGGTGTCTATTTCTCCAAGTCCATTTCCCAGGATACACTTAGCACTTCTGTAGTTCAAGTTCACCAAATAAAACTTTTCCTTACATTGGCTCATATACTGTGAATAAACAGGAAGGAACATGGAAGCAGCTAGCTTCCTCCCTGGGACAGTAGTATCTAGGTTTGTTTCTATTGCCAGCTTCACCCAAGCATCACTTTTCCTTCCCCCACTTTGTTTTAGGTACAGAGGAAACCCCACTTCCTGCCAAGGTAGTCTCTGGTTTGCAGCTTCCAAGAGCTCATAGACTGAGCAATTCAAATGGGGAAGAGCTGGAAGAAGGACAGATGATGGCACTGTGGCTTGTGCAAGTGCCATGTTGGCAGCAGGCCAGTGACTCACTTTAGATTTTTCAGCATGGCAGGAGGTGGGCAAAGAAGGGGCTTCCCCTTTGCATCCTGGAGAAGCTAGCTCAGTTGGGTGGGATATTGGGAGGGCCACTGACATTTCTTCATCTGGTTTCATCTGTTTCTGAGCTTGTAGAAAGTATGCCAGACTCTGTGAACAAGTTTGACATGTGTCTGCTTTGGGGATTTTTAATCTTACTGTTTTTTGCATCATCATTGGTCATTTAGTAAAAAGCAGGTAGAGACCCAGCCACTGTCATTTTAAACTAAAGTCTATAATTACATTTTTTACTTTGATAATGGGAAAACCCAGTGAATAATTTCTTTCCTATTAACACACTATGATGCAGTGTGTGATAACAGAAAGCAGATGCACTCAGGATAAAAACAAGACATGATTTGAATCCAAGCTTCCTCATCCATCAGTTGCTGGATCTTGGCACATCATTTATTAATTATACTTGTATTTAATTACAGGTACTTTGGATACTGTATTTGGTTTAGTGGTCACTGTAAATGACTACTCCAAGTGCATTTTTAAAGCCTAGTCAAGTGGCCTTAAGAATAGTAATCATTCAAAAGAATTGTATGTGTAATCTTTGTGAAGAATGTATGACAGTAAAGTGTTTGGGCTTATTCTTAAGTCTCTAATTTAGCCAAGTAAATATCAATGGAATGGGGGAGAAGTTTAACAAGAGAGTGGTTGGACTAAGGAAATGCCCACACCTGAAACTGCATTGCTGTGGTGTTTTCTAAGGAATTTCCATATGCTCCAAAACTGCTGAACAGGCTAAAAGCCAGCATAATTAAAACAAATTATTTATTCCAAGTTCCTTAGTTTAAGGTTGTCCAGAAGTGAATGCTGAAGTTAGAAACGAGTCTCACAGCTGCAGCATTTATAGTAAAGGTAATATTGACATGATCTTGATTGAAAAATTCAAGGCATTTCCGTCATTCAGAATCCATGAGAAAAGTTTCAAAGTCCAGATCCAAGTCACCAACAAGGGCATCTACAAAGTCATCGACAGAAGGACTCTTCTGAAGCATGCCTGCAAATAAAGAAAAGATCAGCCATCCACTGAAGACTACCACAAGGGGGAAAAGATACATTCAAATCTACACTGTAGGTGAATATTGTGGCTTTCTGAAATAAGAGCTTGATTCTATAATCTGAATATGAGGTATCCCAAAAAATCATGGATAGTGTGTGAGCCCTCACTCTGAAGCTATTCATAGTTTTAATCTTTTTTTTTTCTTTTCCTTTTTCTTTTTAACTATCTAGTGAATACTTACCATACAGACTTAGGCTCAAATGTTTTTCAAAGTTTTTTTTTTTTTTTTTTTTGGTAAATGTCACTCCATACTTGGAGTGATGTATAAACACTGAGATTTTTACTTTTCCTTGACAGAGCTGATTCATAAGTTATTATGTTTAATTTTTGTTAAGTTCTATACACATTAACATGAATCAAGTGTTAATTATACTATAGAAATTTTATATCGGAGTCAAGTTATTGGCTTTCCTCAAGATTTTACTGTATTGGAGAACTTCTAGTTCTACAACTTAATAATTGTATGGTATGAAAGTCATTTAAATGTCTAGTACTCATATTTCCTTATCTAGCATGGAAGTTCGTTATAAAGATGAAATGAAATATAATGAGGAACCATACCTTAACATTTCAATAAAAAGCTGACTTTTTCTCCATTCTTCACTCCCAAAAAGCCAAAGACAAAGATTTAAGTCATCACCTTGTTGCCCAATCTATATTCTTGGCAGCTAATCCTAATTCAAGGGTTGAATAGGGTACGATACACTGACATTTAATATGCTGGACAGATACCATAAAAGCAGACACTGAAAGATTGCCTGAGTCCTCTATTATCCTCTAAATCTTTAATGCAACTCAAATAACATGTATTGAGTATTTGCTGTGTGTAACAGATCAGACTGGTTCATAAATATCAAAGACAAAGAGACGGAATCACAGACAACAAAAAAGGATACTATCACAAAAGAAAACTATGTGGAACTGGATATCCAGATGGGGAAAAACTAACCTTGACTCATACCCCATGTCATACATAACCATTAATTTGAGATGGACACAGAACTAAGTATAAAGCTGAAATTATGAATTGTCTGGATGAAAACACGGAATATTTTTGTGATTTGATCTAGGCAAAGATTTCTTATGGCAGAGAAAGCAATAACCAGAAAAGAAAAAAAAAACCCATCATATATTAGATTTTATCAAAGTAAAAATATTCTTTAAAAGAAACCTTTAAGGAAGCAAATGAATACAGAATAGGAAAAATACCCACACAACATATACATTTCATATAGGAGTGATATATAATATAAATAAAATACTTCTTTTATTCATCAAAAAATGTTTAAATATTTAGAAAGAAATTATTTGAGCAAATCTGAAGGACAAATACTGTCTGATTTCATTCAGGTGAAATGTGCAAAAAGCAAACAAAAACAAATTCTTAGTTTCTGACAACAAAATGGTGGTTACTAGAGGGGAGGGAGATGGGAAGAACAAGTATGGGGATAAACTGGTCCTGGACTTTCATTTTTGGGGAGAGTTTTGATTACTTCTTCTATTTCCTTGCTTGTAATTGGTCTGTTTAGCTGTTCTATTTCTTCTTTATCTAGCTTTGGGTGGTTGTAGAGTTGTAGAAATTTATCCATTTCTGTTAAATTGTCCAATTTGTTTGCATATAGTTGCTCATAGTATTCTCTGATTATTCTTTTGATTTCTGCTGGGTCTGTTGTTATTTCTCCTCTTTTGTTAGTGATTCTGTTTATTTGTGCTTTCTCTTGTTTTTTCTTTGTGAGTCTGGCTAGTGGCCTGTCTATCTTGTTTATTTTTTCAAAGAACCAACTTTTGGTTTCATTGATTTTTTGGACTGCTTTCCTGACTTCCATTTCATTTATTTCTGATTTGACTTTTATTATTTCTTGTCTACTGCTGGCTTTGGGGTTATTTTGTTGTTCTTTTTCCAATTTTTTAAGGTGGGACATTAGGTTATTTCTTTCAGCTATTTCTTGTTTCTTTATGTGAGCTTGTATTGCTATATATTTTCCTCTTATAACTGCTTTTAATGTGTCCCATATGTTTTGGAAACTTGTGTCGTCATTGTCATTCTTCTCCAAGTATTTTCTAATTTCATCTTTGATCTCCTCATTGATCCAATGGTCTTCCAGTAGTGTGGGTTTTAGTCTCCATGTGGTAGATGGGTTTCTTGCCTTCTTCATATGGTTTATTTCTAGTTTGATTCCTTCGTGGTCGGAGAATATAGTTGGTATGATTTCGATCTTAGTGTATCTATTGATGTTTATCTTGTGACCCAGTAAGTGGTCAATCCTAGAGAATGATCCATGTGGATTTGAGAAAAATGTGTACTCAGATTTTTTGGGGTGCAGTATTCTATAGAAGTCCACTAGTCCCATGTTGTCCAGGTCCTTGTTCAGAGCTTTAGTGTCTTTACTTATTTTTTGTCAGTCTTTTACTTTTTTAGCCAAATTAATTTTTTTTGAAGATTTATTTATTCATACAGAACTGGGGTACAGGCCAGAGATGTGGGGTGTGAGAGGATTTACCGAGACAGAGTGGGGAGCAGAACAGGCAGATTGACGAAGTACACTGCTGAGGGGAGCAGTGGGAGGGTCAGGAGAGGTCTGCCTCGCCATGTGGATCTCCTTGGGGGCAGGCGGGAATTGAACTCATGTGGAAGTGGCTTTAGTTTCTTAGTGCAGTGCTTTAACCCTCTGCGCCACCAGGGAGGGCCAGCCAAATTAATTTAGAGGCATTTTAATCTTTTTTGATGAATGCGTATGTGGGGTTTCTCTCTTTTCTTTTGGGTAGTTCATTGTTAGTATATAGAAGTACAACATATTTTTGAATATTGATGTAGCATCTTGTAACTGTACTGTATTTATTATTTTTAATAAATTTTTATGGACTTTAGGGTTTCTATAAATAAAATCATGTTGTCTATAAGTAGCAAATAAAGTCCCATCTCAATATTTATTTTAAGATAGGTCTAGTGGTGGTAAATTACTTCAGCTTTTTGTTTCTCTGGGAAAGAGTTTCCCTCTTGCATCTAACAGATAGCTTTGCTAGAGTGAATATTCTTGGCTAGAGTTTCTATCTTTCACTAATTTAAATATGTCAATGCACTCTCTCCTGACCTGAGAATTTCAGCTGAGAAATATGATGATAGCCTAAGGAGGGTACTTTTGTTTGTTTTTGTCTTTTTTTTTCTTCTTCTTCATAGTGTCTTTAAAAAGTCTCTATCACTGATGTTTGATGGCTTTATTTTCTCTTCCAAAAGGTCTGCACTGGTTTCATTGCTTTCTAATGTATTCTTCACCTCATTTATTTAGTTGTCCAGTTCTAGAAGATATTCTCTCTCTCTCCCTCTTTTTTTAAAATAGTCTTTCAATCTCTTTGGGAAAGTTGCTACTATTAATGGTTTTCTGAAGCTGCAGGTTTACCTGCTGCAGACAGGATTGTAGACACCATTTTCACTTTTACCCTGATTCCTACATGTGTTCTAATCAACACAAATATACTGCTGTGTGGTCATTTCAGGTATCCTGGTGTGTTCAGTAGAAGAGCCTTTCTTGAGTTATAGATGTCTTACTAGTTGTATATTGAAGGGGAGAGACAAAAAGAAAGTTTGATATCATCAGAAAAATGTTGTTATATCCACATTTTTCTTTATCAGTAAAATCTCTACTGATGAAATAGTCTCTGTTCTGGTGCAGCTGTGTCATTAATGACTGAATTTTTGATAACTGCTAAGTAGCACATTTAATATATCTTTTAGATCTAGATTACTAATTACATCGATGCAATCTAATTAACAATCATTTTATTCATTTCCTATTTGCAAGGTTTCTTAGTGCAGAGAATCATTTCAGGGAAAACATTTAAACATGGCTTCCGATCCCATGGTTAGTCTATTACACCATTTTCGTCCTTTTAATACTTGCATGACTGGTCATTTATAATTAAATAACTAGAATTATTAGGTGATGAAAACCATTTATTTAAGTCAACCTGCTCAGGAAAGAACTGCCTTCCTGTTGCTTTGAAGTGGTTCATTTCAACCTAACAAACTGCCAATATAAATTTGACCTTGCTCTGTCCTTGGCAGACAGACCTAACAAGCACACATTCTTGTCCAATTTCCCATCTTCAATCATTTTTGCATCTCAGGTAATGGTAAATGGGGCAACAAGGGAAAAATATACACACTCCTGGTAATTAAAATGTGAGAGTGAAATGGTTTGGCAATTTTGATGTTACTTGTTTGTTAAAGATGAAGGTTCCAAAAAAGGAGAAAAATCAAGAGCTGAAGGGATAAAAATAGTTACTAGGGCAAGAAGTCTCTTAAAATAGTGTTATGGTATCCTTGCTTTAATTAGATTTAAAAGTTCTGCAAGTGTCAGCATGAACTAATCTCTACATAGAGAATTCAAAGAAAATCCAATGTTTTCAGGCAGTTCCACAAATGAGAAAAAAAGTGAAGTTAGTTTATGTGTGTATAGTCAAGACTCTAAGAACTTTTTTGTTGTTGTTGTTTTGTTTTGTTTTTTCAAAAGAGCTGACAAATCTCTGTCTTCATGTCTTAATCTTAAGGGGAATTACACTTGCAATTTCTAGGTGCCTCTGGGAACAAGGATGCAAGTGTTAAATGGATCGACTTTACAAACTCCATAGTTGAAACCTGTTTCACTGTGGAAATCACCCCAATTAGAAAGGAAGAGGACTGGTTTTGCCAAAAGAACTGAAACAAAGAAATGAAACTTTACAACGAAAAAGAGAAAAGTGTCCAAAAAATGGTAGGAAAAAAAAAACTGCACAAGGACAAATTAGTTCTTAAAATGGAAAATAGGTAGTTGAGCTTCATCCATTCCTCTTACTCAGAGGAACAGAGAAAACATAATGAGTAGTTAAAGAATGATGATTTATTTTGCTCCTCATTTTACCTGAGAGGCAAATGGGCTAATAAAAGTTGGTACAAGCCAGAACATTTTTGTCTCGACTGCTAGCATGTTTCATAACCTTGAAGTACTAGGGCAATTATTCTAGCCCTGACTAAAATAAACCATAATGTCAAAAGGACAGGACTGAATGAGAAATGGTACAAATTTCTATACTGTACTATGTGCCATTCACTCTTGTGACTGTTGACACAGAGCTAGAAGTAAAGTGAGGATAAAGATGCCAGGCATAAGGACCTGACCCAGCTGGTCTACAAAAGGGTTATCAGAAAGACTGCCATCAACACACAAACATAATCATGGCAGCTATCTATTGAGCATTTACTGGGTGCCAGGCATTGCATTAATTATATTACTTATCTGATCTTTAAAAACACATCAGTGAAAAACCTATCTTACAATTAAGGAAATGAAGCAAAGATAAGACACATAACTGAAGTTTCTTTGTCGAACCCTAGCTGGCTGATTCCAGAACCTCACTCAATAGTCTTAAAGGCTATGATATATTGCTTTCTGCCTGGGAAATTTTATAAAATGATACAGTTTAAAAAGTTCCATTTTTAAACATCAGCATCCCAAATGTCACAAAACCTAAATAAGTGGTGAAATTCTGGGAGAAAAAAAAAGTAACAGCTTCCTGATGCCACACATTGCTATCCGGAGTTGCCATTAATTGATCCCTTCATTAACTGATGCCTTGATGATGGTAAAAATGTCCACTGCTTTTTTAGGCGATTCTGTTTCTGTACTAGAGAGTACCCTTTATGAGTAGTCATAACCTGTTAATTCCTGGAGTGGAGAAGTGAGCAAACTGGGGCAGTCCCTGCTGCAGGCAGTAGGCGGGGTTTCTTAACATGGTTTTGCACAGCTGTGACTAGGACTCAAGAGACTCTTCCTCTCAGCTCTCACACTTGGCCATGCAGGCTTGCTGCTAGAACTCTCCAGGCATAATACAAGAGAAAAAGCTCCGAAGAGTTTTGTACATAAGAATGTTTTCTGTGTGGTCCTTAATTATCTGTGGTAAATCTCTTGAAAACAAAAGCCCTTACATATCTGAGAAGCGCCTTATATATATTTCTATACTTTCACCAAGAATAAAGCCTGTCACTCCCAGGGTAACTTCAACACATGTACACAACTGCCTGTTAGTAACATATAATACATTATCCAATTGGACCATCATTCATCTATCGCCATACTCTTGGAATGAGCTCTAACCTCTGAATGCCTATTGATATAACTAATACAATTATTTGAAAACATGATAGAGAGCGAGTGGTTGGCAATTTGATCATAGTCCTAACAACCTGGCAAAGATAGGGTCTTGTTGCTAAGACTCCCTTTTCTAAGTGCCTGAGGTGAAACGGTCTATGTACCATTTAATTTTAAAATATAGGGGATTACCAGAGCAATTTTAAAAACTGGAATTGTTTTAAAATTTGGAAAAGTAAACTACTTACATTTCTTCTTTTAGTTCAATTTATATGTTGCTAACACCAACCAGGGATGTTTATTCAAATGAAATTATAAGAGTTTGATCAAAGTTTAATGAAACTAAAAAAGGGAAATGGGGTAACTATAAATAGAATCTTTGTGAAGATTTTTTTCTATAATTCATTCATAGATTTTTTTTCCTTTTAACCACTCCTTCACTAGCGCATTCATTCTATCTGTATATGAGTGCCAGTGTAAGTTTAAGGCACAGGAAAAGATCACATATATATAAAAATCTGTTTTATAGGAACTTATAATCTAGTGCCTCTGAAAGTGTAGTTCCAAGGCCAAAATCAATGGTATCACTTGGGAACCGGCTAGAAATGCATATTCTTGTTCCCCACTCCAGATTCCAAAATCAAAGCTGTAATGAGCCTTCTGGTGATTATAAAACATGCTGGATGGTGAGGACCATTGCTCAGATGGAGCTCAGAAAAACAATTATAGTAGAAAATGAGATAAAATTTCTTTCTTTTGGTAAGTATAACTTGAAAAATCTTGTGCAAGAAGATGTGTTGGTTTATTATTTAACTAAACTGGAAAAAACATGCTTCTCAAGTGGAATAGGATAGTTGAACCAAAGGTAGGATTTGCTTGGGACACTGTTTAAAGTTATGACCAACAAGCCCCCAAAAAGCTGGTGGCACAGCCTCCTAAAAAAAATCACCTAAAAGAATCAAGAATGGGTTTGTCATGAGAATAGTCTAAAAATCTGGGGTAAGTGGAAGTGGTCAGAAAAGGAACTATGAGAGGGGGCACACACGTGACAATGGACTTCCAGAAGTCTCCCAGATGTGAGGCATATGCAAAGGTCAGCAATAGTATATTTATTTAAAAAAAAAAAAAAGAAGTAAGGTATATTTTGATTTCTAGAAACCCACTGGGAAACAGTGTTTGTAGGTATCAGTTATTGGTTCCTTTGTGAGGAAACCACAGAACACTATCTCAAGAGCTTCTTTCACGTAGCGATTCTACTGTTCTGAGCTTAAGAACTATAATCAGACCTTGGTCAAGTCGAAGCCACAAAGAGCCTAGGAGAAACGCTGTTCCAGTGAAGACAGGATGTCAGTCCAGGCACTGGTGTCCTCTGGGAGTGTCATAAATGCTACAAAAAGAGGGTCTTCCTAGAATAATTCTTCATGAAAATGGTGATGCTTGTTGCATAAGTATGAACTCCCAGCAGACCTGGCACACTCCCCTTTGAATGGTTCTGAAATGGATGCCCCTACCTGGCTGTCATGCTCCATGCAACTTGACAGTAGGCAGGATTGTACCCATGCCTTACTCCACCTATGATGGAAAGTCCTTTTATTCATTTATGAAAAACTGTGTGCCAAGTACCAGCACTCAGACACAAGTGAGACACAATTTCTGTTTTCAAGGAGTTCATTATTTGGGGCAAAGCTATGGAAATACATAATTGTTTTCATAAAAAAAGGTATATATTTACGGGACAGTGAGGGTGCAAAGGAGAGAGTGTCTGATTAAATGCTAGGGCAAGAGACAAAGAATCAAAATGTCATACTGTGAGTGAGAAGCACACACAGCTGGTGATGCTGAAAATTGGAAGCTGGATTACAACCAGGGCTAGAAACAATGGAAACAGGCTGAGATACAAAAGATCTGGTGGATATTGTTTGTTTTTACCACCCAGGACCATTTCCCTTCCAATTAGAGGGCTGATTTTGCTATAGAGTAGAGCTTCTCAACGG